TTCTCTGTTACCGCTGCATTTCACGCGCGCGTTCGACTGAATTTACGCACTGTTTGGACAATAACGCGTGCAATGGTCTATTTTCCCGGAAAGATGGCCAAAATTCGTGACATCGTTGGATTTCCATGAAAATCGGTATTTCCGTGTTTTTGAGGTTGCAGAATTCGAACGTCTTGTCAAAAATGGGAAATTCAGTGGATTTTATTTTTTTCGATTTTCATGGAAAATTCAGCATTTCTACATTTAGCGGGTGATGTATGTACATCAAATATGGTGTTGCAGATATTAATATTAAAGAAATATTTTGAAAATTTAAAGTAAATATTGCAAAAATATGAAATAAATATTTGGAATGTGTAAAATTGATATTTAAAATGTAAAAAATGTTTTTGAAAAATTAAAGTAACTTTCACACATCGTTTCAAGACTATTTAGACACCCTAATTAGTAAATAAAAATAGATGTACCCACACAATCGTTGACACTAATATAGCAAAAAAAAAATTGCATAGAAATGTCTTTTCTATATTAGGGATTTTATTATGTTAATAATAATGCATTAACAATATTAAATTTTATCGGAATGTTTATTTTTCTATCATTTGCAAATCAAGGGAGGCTATAAATGCATAAACATCCGCTGTCTACTCATGAGTTTTGGGACATTTTTTCTAAACTATGCAATAAGTGTTGCACGGCAGTTACGAAATTGCTGAAAATTTGATATAAGTAAAATAACGGCATCGAATATGAAATATGTGCCTAATATGAGACAGGGATTTCTACTAAAACGTACAATACCGGTATTATACCGATATTTTCGGTTGTACCTTCGCTCTATATAACCCTATATGTATAAACCCTACCCTTATAGAAACCGAAAAAATACCGGTATTTATTTCGGTGTTTGGTAATATATCGGTTCAGTATAACTTTGATGGCATAATACCGGTATCAAAATCATACCGGTTTAAGTCCCTGAAAATGAGACCCCCATAGTATCTCCATAAGGAAGTGCTGTAATACCCCTGGAATGTTGAGAACTTTTGAAAAAAACGACACCACTATTCGCATGAAATTGTGGTTCACGTGGAAACGATTGGTTGAATAAGACGTCAATAAATTTGTTTTTTCTCGTTGTAAGTGTCTATAGTCCAATGGCTCCCAAAGTGTAGGTCGCGACCCCCTGAGCGTCGCAAGAATAGCTGCGAGGGGTCGCGAGACGTTTTACAAAATAAAACAAAAAAATTCGTATTACTATACATCTACTTTGTATTTAGAAAAAAAATTAACGTGAGTTGCAACACTCTGGAGGTCGCAAGCAAAAGTTTCGTCCAAAAGGGGGTCGCAGCTTGAAAAACTTTTGGGAACCACTGCTGTAGTCATTTACTAAATAAGTTAAAGGTTAGTTTTTTAGTTTCTGTATTAGCTTGGAGTCTTACAAGGGAGTGAAACTTTGTGGATTTATAATGTGATTCAAACCAAGAATAACGGTGTGTTGTATTTGTACCCAGTCGCCCTTCAAGGGAGTGAAAACTAACCTCAAAGTCGAATAGACACTCCAACTTTTTCCCGTATAACTCTTAAAGTACAAGAGATAGAAAAAAATGTTTCCAACCAAAGATTAATGAAATAATAAGCGCTATATACTTACGTTAACAAAATTTTGAAAAAAGGTGTTTTAAAATTTTTGTTAAGAAAAAACTTTTTTCAAAAATTTATCAATGTAAGTTTACAGCGCTTGTTATATCATGAAACTTTTCTTTGAAACATTTTTTTCTTTCTCTTGTACTTTAGGAGATATCCGCGACAAAGTGCGAGTGCCTACTTGATTTGGAGATTAGTTTTCACACCCTTGAAGGGCGATTGGGCACGAATGAAACATACCGTTACTCTTTTCTTGAATCACTCTATTAAAACCACAAAGTTTCATTCCAATCCGTTCCTTCTGAATACATTTACTAATCAGATTAGGAAGTCCATACATTGACTAGGAAATGTATACATTTACTAAATTAACGCTTTTACTCTAACATATATTCATTGATAAATCGTCCAATCGTTCGGATTCTCGTTTACTGTCACCCCAGGCACGACAAGCAACGCCCGGCATTGAAATCTTCGATCTCGAACTTTCCTTCGGCCGTCAATTCGCGGCACTGAACATTCTAAAAGGGCGTGTACACACATGCTGGTCCTCTCTGTCTGTCCACCTCCAAAAAAAAGAAAAAAAAACACTTAATCGTTCTGGTTCAGTTTCGTTATGCAATCGATTTAAATCGAGGTTCGGCGTTCGGACGCCTTTCTCCCCCCTTGTGTCAGCGATTTCGGCTACCCACGCGGTCAGAGGGAACAATTTCGTCCGTGATTCGACGGTTTTCATCTCGTCGTTAACACCTCTATCGTGCTGTGTTGGTCATCGGTGACCGACTGTAGACTTTCCCTCGGTTACAGACGATGAATCGGTATGAAATGTAAAAAAAAAAATAACTCCTTGTCTGTCAACATTTAACGCTGAAACATACAGAAACGACTAAAAAAAGCATAACGTCTGTGCCTAATATAGAATAAGTACGCAAATGTGGTAACCTGACATCGGGTATACAATATTTTCAGGGAAGTCAAACGAAACATAGTTTTATTCTTCTTATTGATTAACGCACTTTAGTTATAGAATTATATTGGGTCATTCCACGCGAAATCTGACACTTTTTGGAGTAGCATTTCGGATTTTGGTGATCCTTGGATATGTTGTACTCTTTAGCGATATATAAACGCATTGCGAAGGATTTTGGATAATTTTTGAGATTGTTGATTTTACAGCTGCTTGAAATATTGTGTCAATCGTTTTCCAATAAATTGTAACTGTTGAACACAAACTGATCGAAATGAGTTTTGTGGGTGCTTACAGTGGAGACATCGGAGTACGTAATCAAAATTATTTCCGTTAAAAAATTTATTTTAACTATTTATTTTACAATTGTTTTGAAAACATGTAATGTTATAATAACGGGGCACTGTTTAAAAATTTGAAAAAATGAGGATATATTCCTATTTGTTCTCTTTGTGAACAAATTTTCAAAAAAATGGACATTTTCATAGGGTCAATTTTAAAGTCCCGATATTTTTGAAAAGTTGTCCATAAAGAGGACAAATAGGAATATATCCTCATTTATTATTAAATTTTTAGATAGTGCCCCGTTATTATAACATTGCATTTCTTTTAAACAATTGCGATATAAATGGTTAAAATATATTTTTCTTCAACTGAAATAATTTTTATTACATAGGTACTCTTTCGTCTCCACTGTAAGCACCCACCAAACTCATTTTGATCAGTTTGTTAATTCAACAGTTATGATTTATTGAAAAACTATTGTCACTATATTTCAAGCATCTGTAAAATACATCATTTTTTAAATTTTACACATATCCAATTGTCAACAAAATCCGACATGTTACTCCAAAATATATTAATTATAAAAAAATATATTTTTTCAAAATGTTCGAAATAATTTTAACCTCACCATTGGTTTTTGATTTTATAAAAAACAAAATACGATAAAGATGCAGCAAGCGGGATAAGGTAAATACGATTCCAGTCGACCTCAAGTTCTATGAGTCACATCGTGAACTGCATAAATCTCCACATCGTGTATATATTCGTTTAAATTCCAGGCAATCTAACAATAACACAACGAATCAGACGAGGAACACGAGAAGAATCGTTTCAGCTTTTTGTTCACTTAAAATTCCGCCTACCTGCAGGTCTTTTTCCGTATTTGAATCAGACGCCGTGACTTTCGCAAGGGGGGGGTGGGGGGGGGCTCTGCGTGACGCGGATAAATGCGGTCGAAATTTGACAACTTTTCGTCGGACTTCGCGAAGCAATTGAGAAAGAATACGAAAGTGGAGAGTAGAAAGTGGGTCGCCAAGGCGGCCCCGAAGAAGCGGGGCACAACCGGGCGTGGATCGCGATAACCGAAAACGCCACCCTATCCTCAAGGTTACGTGAAGGCGGGTCGACGAGGCCGTGGAACACAGCCAAGGACATCGACTGTGTCTCCCTTCGGGACCGAAAGCGCAAAAACCACGGAACAACTTTCTCGCCACCGTCACCGAAACTGTACTGTCCATTACAGTCGAAGCACACGCACACACACCTTCGATACGCCATCTGCACGGAACTGTATTAACCGTAACGCATGCGCACTGGAACCTTCCCCATCCGTATGCCGATTTATGATGCTCAGGTACTCCATTACACGGTAAAGGAACAACTGATAACGCGCGAAGGAAATGTTTCCACAAGGAAAAACCGATGACGCCGATCGACGTCAGTGGTGAGGACCAGTGGATTATTCTATGTGCGCAATGGTCACGTGGGTCCCAAACAGGATTGGTCGTTTCTTTGTTTATGAAGATGAAACGACCGTTACTGGTTCAGAAAATGATATGGAATTACCCTGGAAAGTGATTACCAATTCAGACACACTTCAATAGGGCTGTCGGGTATGTAGGCTGTGAGCTCGGTGTTACGGCGTTTTCGAGTATTTTCACATAAGGAGAAAAGCGGAGACGCGTTCTTAGATCACCATGTATACCTTAAGTTATTCCACCCGCCATACCCTAACTTAAACCATGCTGGATACCCTAACTTAGACCACTCCCGGTACCCTAACTTAGAATATCTTGAAGGCTTTAACTTGGAACACCCGCTATACCCCAACCTACACCCTTCTCGATATCCAAACTTGGACCACCCTCGATACTCTAACCTAGACATACTCTCTGTATACCCCAACTTGGACCACCCTCCACACCCTAATCATCCCAATAGACCGCTGTCTATTCCCAGAGGAGAATGTCGGATTGAAGTAATGCAAGGCGATATACATTGACAACAGCTTTTTAATTAAGTGGCAAAAGTAGTCAGCTAGAAAAATAAATAAAGATCAGCCTGAGTCGACACCGTTAATTATCTAAGACTAGTTCGTCGCTTAGAGGTAGTGTGCTGGCGCGGCATAGGTCAGTGCTGGAGCGGCGGCGAACTTGGCGATGGGCGATGGATGAGCAGAGTAGGCCAATGGGGCGCTATGAGCGACGGCGTACTGAGCAGGTTGGGCGACAGCGTACTGAGCGGGGTGAGCGACGGCGTACTGGGCGGGTTGAGCGACGGCGTACTGTGTGGGGTGAGCGACGGCGTACTGGGCGGGTTGAGCGACGGCGTACTGGGCGGGTTGAGCGATGGTGTACGGGGCGGGTTGAGCGATGGTGTACGGGGCGGCGTGAGCGACGGCGAGCTTAGGGGCGGCGTAGACTGGAGCGTGGGCCACTGGGGTGGCGACCTTGGCGATGACGGGGGCGTGGGCAGCGTAGGCCAGAGGAGCGGCGTGAGCAATAGGGGCGGCGGCGACGGCCTTGAGGGCAACAGTGGCGGCTTCCTTGCGGACGACTGCGTTGAATCCGTTGACAGAGTCAGCGGTGTAGTCGACGGTGCGCTTGGTGCCGTCAGGCTCGATCAGGGAGTAACTGCCCTGTACGACGTCACCGTCGCGGGTCTCCTGTTGGCTTTTGGCGTCACCGGTCAAGCTATCATGGACATCATAGGCGTAGCTGTATTGAGGATGGGGGTCGTAGTCAGCGTCCACGGTCTTCGCCACGGGGGCCACCGCCACGGTCTTCGTCACGGGGCCCACAGCCAGGGGCGCGGTAGCGTAGGCTAGGTGAGCCGGCTGGGCGTAGGACAGTTGAGCGGGGATGACACCGGCGTTGGCTGCAGCCACAAGGGCCAGGAAAGCGACGAACTGGAATAAAAAAAATTGTTATGAATTTCTTTTTGAAAATTTTGTAACCGTCTCGATAAGGCACCGTAAACGGATGATATTTCAGTTGGACGTATTGGCTCTATGAGTTTGTTGCACTTTGGTTAAACCTGGGGTCAAGTTGACTAGATTTCCTATCTTTAATAATTCTTGTTCTGCTACACAAGATTTAAATGAATACAATCACTTTTAAAAAACTGAGACCTAGCTACTTGCTTCCAATTATTCTAAGCTATTTCACAGATAGGGTATATATTGTTAGGGTATATAGACAGGATAATGTAGCTACTATACCACATGGGCCAGAGCACATTACGATGATTAAAGGAGATCAACTGGAACTACTAGTGAACACACTTGGAATGTACAATCACGAAACTGGTACCGAACGGTTCGGCCACTAAAATTTCGAACTGGTGTCTGATGAACTGAGATTAAACTAGATCTTGTTGAACTAGATCACGGCTAGGCCAGAGAACCAATTCTGGGGTTCTCGACTGTGCCCCGATTACTGATCCCGGAGAATCGTTTAAGATCGTCGGGATCCTTTTACCCACCTTGAAAGCCATTGTTGAGAAGATTTGGTTGGTTTGGATCGACTGAGCGACTGATGATGCCAAACTGTTGCTCCGGCCGGTTTATATACCAATGAGCCGGGCCACTGTCGTACCCTGTCTCCCCACCAGTATCGGATCGGGCCAGGTTCCGGCAGACTTTCATAGTTTGGCTGTAGATCGTATCAGCCGGTCGCACTTGAACTTGGCCGGTTACAATCAGGATACGGGACACACCCACGGGGGACTGGTGCTTGAATTTCGTGGTGAACCGTTAGGCCTGTATCATTGTCATTAGACCGTGGATTATGAGGATATGTGAAGTTTTCGTGGACTAATTAACAGAATCCGGAATCGGACGGAAATTTTGTTGAAGATACTTTGATCAGGATCTAGTTCGAATAAAAATACCATTATACTTTATCAGCCCTTTCGGACAACGTGTGTGTTGTAAATCCACAAAATCTGATGTCTAGTTATTAGACTGCTTAAAGGAATTAGGGGATCGCTACAGTGGCTTAATTAGTGTACATGGAAATGATAGGTAGAGAATAACAGTAACAGAAATTCTGCACTTTAAAAGTAAATTGTTACACATGATATAGGTATACTAGATAATTTAATAGATAAAAGTACAATACATTTTGGATAGCAGACAGAATGTAGTAGACGATATATTGTAGATGATGTTGTAGATATTGTAAATAATATAATAAACGATGTAGTGAATCATATAGTAAATGAAACCTTGTAAACGATACAGTGGATATTGTAGATAATATAATAGACGATATAGTAGGTAATATAATGAATCGTATAGTAGATAAGACGTAGTAGACAAGACATAGTACAATATGCTATATAAAATAAATTTATAGAAGCGATAATAAATGAATTTATAAAAGTTATTTTATCGGATCACGTGTCAGAAATAATTACATGTAATATAAATAAAATAAACAGATGAGGTAAGATCAACGGCCTTAAGTTTAGCCACGGAGAAACAGTATTGGGACTCGCTGAAAAAGAAATTTTATCGACTCGAGTTTCGAGTTCGAATTATACAAAATTCGTCGACATTGCATTTCAACGAGTCCTAAAAAAAGTTTCCACTAATAGGTGGTCATTTCATTAAAACTGCAGGTGTCTGAGGTATCTTCAATATACAGGGTTTTTATAAACGCGGCAGTGAAAACTTACAATCAATTGAACCCAGTGTTGCAGAAAACGAACACGAATATTACCTATTGATTAAAATCTTTATCATATTAAAAAAAACTTATTGTTAGCCCTAAATTTATCTCGAGTAATATAAATACAATTCATAAAATACAAATATACAATTCATCAGAAATTCAATTTTAATTCTCCATAATATTTCATCGTTATTACATTGCAATAAGAATAATTTAAGATTTTAGTCTAGATACTCATTTACGTATTGTTTATACAACTTAATTCGACATATTTTACAACTATAACAGAAACAAAGTAAAACTAAATAAATTCAGAATTCAGTATGTATTGACTTATGGAGCTGGGTCTATTTTGACCCCATTAGGTTGAAATCAAAATGTCTTTAGATTTCTACGTAATGAAGCTGCCAGTCAACCAAAACTATTACCCAGCAAATAATCAGGATAATAAACTATGCATATATTCGTACATATATAAGGTGAGTCAATAAGAACTACTATCTACAATAACCCATTACCTGATTAGTTCTATTGAAAACCCGGAAAAACGTTTTAATGAATTATGTAGCATTTTCTGGGACGCGTCGGATGGATGCAATTAGATTTTTTTATATCTTACTTTTTTCTTAAGATATCAAGGTGATCTTGAGTTGTTTCAAGGTCAATGCATCTATTTTTTTCAATACCATCATGCTATAGGTCGTTGAATTCGTCCTTCTAGTAGCAACAAGGTGGTATTAAAAAAACATGCATTGTCCTTGAACAAAAATTCAAGGTCACCTTGATATCTAAAAAAGAATAAATTATAAAAAAAATCAAATTGTATCTATCCGATGCGTCCTTTAAAATGCTACATAATTTCGTTACAACGTTTTTCGATAGAACCAATAGGCAAGAAGTTATTTTAGATAGTAACTCTTATTGACTCATCCAATATAACTATTGTACATTTTATAAATAAACAACATCATCTGATTCTTGCTCAATTATACGAACAAAGTTTAAAACAAATCTGAGTTATGAATCGTACTAATGAAGACTATCTAAAACATGCTGCAGTTTCATTTAAAAGAACAAAAGGTAACATTCATATCCCTGAAAACAATGCAGATAAACAAACTCTGACTTACAAATGTAGTGCATACTTGAATATAGTTCAGCTTTCGTGTAACAACATTTTTTTAGAAGTTCAAGGAACTTCCTGAAACTTTGTGACGACACTCACATGGGACGTTCTTATGTAAATAAATTTTTCACACCTTGAACAGAACCCACCCCAATTGCACGATAATCAGACCCACTTTTGTCCGATCGTTAATCAGGAATAAACAATAATGTGATAGAAAGAAAAGAAATTTCAAAAAAAATTGTCAGAAAAATTCTTTTCTTTCTGTCACATTATTATTTGTTACACACATACACACACACACACACACTGTTCTGTCACATTATTATTTAAAGAATTTTAGAAATAATTACAAAAATCTAAAGCATTTTTTCTAAAATTATAAATAATAATGTGACAGAAAGAAATGAATTTATCTGAAAAAATTTGTTTCGAAAATTCTTTTCTTTCCGATAAATCGGTTGTAAATCTGATGGCTAAAACAGAGTCAAATATAACATACATTTATTTTAATTATTCTGCCTTTAACAGTTTCAATCATCATCACCATCAACGTTATTATTGTTAGTATTTCACATCAAGGAATGTGATTATTCCAGTTATTATTAGTATCAGGGAATATTATTATTGTTATTATTAGTGTCAGTCTATGTTGTTATTATTAATACTATCAGTCGCCCGATATATTCGAAATGAATTATAATACGATCCTGGATCATCAATCGATTCTCCTTGACCTTATAGCGCGGAACTGTAGCGAGCTCAGGTAAACGGGGGAAAAAAACACAGAAAAGAAAGAATTTTTTGTTCAGATTTGTTCCGTATTAATCAACAGCGCTATTAATTTAATTAACAATTTTATTTACATCTCGCTCGGAATATCGTTTAAAAGACGCCCAATTATCGATTTATCTTAGACTTGTGTAAACAAGATAAAAAACAAAAACGAAACAGAGGAGGAAGGGTGGAATAAATAAAAAAAACTGGTTATTTAAATATCCCGCGGAATCGGTTCGATCTTCGAGTTTACGAGATTATTGGAGCCCGCTTTAAATAGAAATATCATAACCGCGATAGTATTGGATATCCACTGTAATATAGGTGAAACGTTTTCTAGCCGATCGGTATTCAATTTGTTTGTTTTTTTGTCGAAAAAAATCGTGCTTTTTGTATATTACACTGTGTTACAGCATCGATTTTGTAATCTTCGAAATCGTTGTATGTAACACAATGAATCTTTCTTTCTGAATATAAAATTTTTTTAAATGAAAAAAAAACATTTATAACAATTTTTAGAAACATATTTTATCGTAAAGAAATGGAATGAATATTACATGGATCTTTGTCGATGGATCTTCTACAGATTGTATGATCCTCGATGCTTTTGTTAATGTATAATAATACTGATGTCGATGTAACGCGATAAATAATCTTTTTAGAAGACAAATTGACGTGACTGGGCGAGCTTTAGGTATTCCTAAATAATATGAAGAATTAGTTCATTTTTGTTTAATATTCTATTTCTAATAACAAATAAATATTTATTTTACATTTGGAAAAAAATGTTTGGTTTCCAGTATTGAATAAATATTTATTCTATATTTCGAAAAAAATATTTTTTTCCTAACATGAAATAAACATTGTATGTATATTTAAATATTGAAAACGGATTGTATCTCTTTTTAATACTGGATGAATATGTATTCAATATTTTGTGCTACTAGGGTTATCTTTTGTGGAGTCTGAAAGAGTAAACGTTACAAACACCGTAAAAAAAAAACATTTTCGATCTAATTAATCCCAATGCTGTAATGCACTGTAGATTCATTAATATGATGTATATATGTAAATGTAGTAATAATAATGTCCATACGTATAGTGCAATTTACTAAATCATAGTATAAAATATAATAATGTAAAATATCAGTAAAATATATAACAATAATATTAGATAGAGACGTAATTAAAAACTATAGAAGAATAACACTATTAAACACTGCACACAAGATATACACAATAATTTTAGAAAATAAATTAAAAAAAGAAATGAAAGGTAAAGATAGATGATATAACAATTATACTTTATAACAATATTTGATATTATTGTTATTG